GATCATCAATCATAACTCCAAGGTTTCTGGCTGTTTTTGAAGGAGTTATGGTTGATGTTCCTAACTGGATGGTGAAATTGTGATGAAACGATGGGTTTTCTGGAACCACAAGCAGTTCTGTCTTGACAAGGTTAAGTTGAAGGGGATGGTCCTTCATCCAGCAAGAAATGTCTGTTAGACATGCCGAGATGCGAGCAGCTATCGTCAGATCATCAGGATGGAATGAGAGGAGAAGATACTTTGAAGGACCTATCTGAGAGGTAAGACTCAAACCACAGGAGTGTGGCTCCTGAGATGCCCTTTGCCAGTAGGGTTGACAGAAGGATCTGGTGATTAACCGTGTCAAAAGCAGCGGACAGATCCAGCAAGATAAGTATTGAAGATTTGGAATCCACTCTTGCCAGTCTTAGGGCTTCAACAACTGAGAGCAAGGCAGTCTCGGTTGAATGTCCACTTCTGAAACCAGACTGGTTGCTGTCAAGGAGGTTGTTCTGTGTGAGAAAATTTCTGAAAATGTTTAGGGCTGCAAACTATTCAAGTGTACCAAGTTTCATGCTTTTATGAAAAAGTGAAAATTATTTTCACATATCACCTGGACTATAGAGTAAATTGAAAATAAAAGTAAATACTGAAAACAAATACTGTTGTTTGGCTAATTGCCATTCTACTCTTTTTTTTTTTCTATTTGTATGGACTGTACACGAGCGCTTTGATTGGACAGTGCAGATGGTTGGAAAGCGGTCAGTGTCCAGTTAGATAAGACTGGCGTAAACACTAGCGCTAATGGATCAGTTTCATACATAAATGTATTTTCAACGTTTTAAAATACACAGTATAACAGTTTGGGTGATTTATTCGAATGTTCAGATTCGTAGACGAATGTAGTTTTGTTGAATGGAGATCCAAATAACCTGCAGAAATTAAAAAAATAAAACAAACAAACGTAATAATAGGAAATAAATACAGGTATATAAACAAGTACTACTACGATTTAAATTACATTTATTTATTTATTTATTTATTGAAAAACGTGGCAAAGTCATCAGCTATTAGAGTTGATGCAAGAGGGGGAGGAGGAGGACAAAGGAGCGAGGAAAATGTTTTTATTTTATTTTTATGTTTTATTCATTTAGTCACATCAGACTTGCTGTTATGCAACATTAAAGTCTTAATTGATCTGAAGGTTGTTCAGAAAGATTTTGATATCTTTTAATATCAAGGTTGACATACAATTTAACCCACTGAAGTTGATTACCATCTCTGTCCTCAGGTCCAGTAAACTAGTTATCATTGAGAGACTTCTGTTATTGGCGGAGCGTTATGTCATAACAATAGAGGTAAGAGCTGATACACATACACACGTTACACACTGCTTTGCGTATCGGAGCGCACAACTTTATTTGTTCAAATTCATCTTGTGTTCAACCTCTTATGACTATTGCACTAATACTTATCTTAAATGACTTAGTTTATCTCTGTTTGAAAGCATCAGTCAGTCTCAGCGAAGAAACCAGCAAGCTGTAAAAGTCAAATGTAGCAACATCACTGAACGACAGACTTTACTAATTAATTCTCTTATTGTGTTAGATAGTTGTCAGACTCGCAGCTGTGGAATGATGAAGTCTGATCATTGGTTGACTGCAACATTCACCATCTCCCCGTTTCTCCAGCTGTTCAGTTCCATGCTGAAATCTGGCACAGATTCTGTCATGCCATTTAGTGCATTTAGGAGTAATCATGCCAGAACACAGTGAAAGGGATCCGATACGGTGTTAATTCCTGTGTGTATTCAGAAAGACGTTTTCATACCCGTTCCCTCTAACAGACACTAATTGGTTTGTTATTGACAGACATTTGGTGCAGGAAGTGCTTTTGGACTGTAGCACTTTTGTCTAATCTACGAATTTGAGTAAATCATGTAATATGAAGCTCAGTAGCTTATTGCTGGCAATTATTACCCTATTCATTGAAATGCTGATTCATAGAAAACTGATTTGAAATTGCAGGTTTATTGCTGAAAGATATGCAGGAGCTCATCTAATATTACAATTACATCAGGAAAGTGGTTCAATTGCTTGTTAGTAAGCAAGAAAAATGGATTCTAGAGATTCATATATTATAGAATTATT